AGAAAATTTTTCCGCTCAATTGTCAGCAGACTTATATATTACCTAAAAGCACTATATATGATAGAGAAAATTCTTCCGCTCAATCGTTTGTCTAATTATCTTATCTTATACTTAAAAGAACTACATATGAGAGAAAAATTTCTCCCGCTCAATTGTTCTCAAGCTTATCTTCTACTTCGTAGTAACAATAAATAAAAGTACTACATATGAGAGAGAAAAGTTTCTCGCTCGAGTGTTAGACGACTGAGCTTATATATAAAAGCACTATGTATGAGAGAGAAAATGATTGTGCTCAATTCTTGGCCGGATTATCTTACCGTATACCAAAGAGCACTATATATGAGAGAGAAAATTCCCGTCTTTCCCACAATCGAGCACATCAACACCTTATCAGCCCTCGATAGCATTTCAAAAAAGCGGTCAATTCTTGCACGCCGAGAGGTTATGCACCATTCAGTTTCCTCTAAAAATTATTTGATGTAAGTGTTGTTCCTGATCTTCCACATCCTCATTACTTAATTACATAATTCCGTTTTTAATTTACTTTATAATGTTAGATTGTTAAGACTTTGATTTTTTTGTTCATACCGAGTACGAAGTATATCTTAACAAATGGAAGAACTTCTGCTTTATAGGTTTATTATTATGAGCCCGTTTGGTGTTCTTGTACATTTTAAATATAATTTTCCATAAACAACATAATTAGCAAACCAGTCATTTTAGCCAAAACTTCATAAATTATATTTCAGTGGAACAACCGATCTAGTCAATTTCAGTTTTACCAAACGAACGTTATGAATAGTATGAACTTTTGATTTGATCGATTCACATGTAAAATTTCTCGTCCTACTAATTGTGTGATCTTTTATTACATTATGGACATTGTTTAAAAAAATGATATGCCCGACCTCTAAAAATACTACTTTAAGGAAGGTAATGCATATAATGTATATGTGACTTTATTTAGCAAGTTTGACATTATTTTTTAAACTCTATTTCCTGAAATCATTACACATGAGATAGATAATTTTCTCTCACTCAATTGTTAATCGACTTATCTTATACCTAAAATTTTCTCCTCAATTCTATAAGAACCATATCATTTTGTCATTCATTGGTAAATCAACTTTGATTCTCTCTCACCAAAACTATGATACTATGAACATGACTAAAAATATGATTTGAAGTCAAAGAATTATATGGTACTCTTTCTATGACTATGTACATTATAGAGATCTTTTCGGGAATAATATTTGATCAATAGAGCATGATCATAAGTCTGTCTCGTTTGTATGTACAAAATTGAAAGTTCACAATAGTAATCAAATTCAAGTATATTTGTAGCTTTGAATCACATACATGTTACTATCATAGAGATATTATTTCAACATGTTGATTTTTAATTATGAAATGTGATTTTTCAAGATTCTCATTTTTTATTGTTAAGAAATCCTTTTTTCAAAAAGCCCCTTTTTATTACCCACTGATCTATTGTTTCTTTCATGTTCTAATTTTGATACTTAGAGCCGGTTTAGTAACACTGAAATTGGCCGGCTAAATTGTCTCGTCCTTTTGAAATTGATGAAATTCTCATAAAATGCCTGAATTGGTTGAAATTGATTCTTTAGATTTATGGATGAATTTAATTTAGATTATATTTCATTAATGAAGTATATAAAAAATTATATGAAAAGCGGTTGAATTAGTTGAATTTATTGGTTTATGGATAAATTTAATTTAAAATAAATTTATTAATGATATTAAGAAAAACATTATATGAAAAGTAGCTAAAAAGATCACATACAGTAACTTCCTTTATTGAGACAACAAAATAGATCATAAATTGCATATAGATAGTTATAAGCATAATTATAGAGATCGTTAATAAATTATATTTGTATATATTCAATATTCATCTCATATGAAAGATCACAAAAAATTATGAATTTTGATATGATTTTTGTAAAAATTGGAACAAAAATGAAAAAGTTATAATACTTTAAAAAAATTGGGGGTTTTTATAGGTTGGGCCCCACCAACTGAAAATCCTACGGCTGCTCTCCTTCCATTTCACTTGGAGAAGTTCGGTATTTTGGAGTGAAAAGCCACGTGTCATTTTTATAGAAAATGAGAGAATTGTGGAGAGTTTGACGCATAGGATTAATGAAGGGTAAAATAGTATTTTTATGAGCTATTTCTTTTCAATAAAAAGAGAGTATCATAAATGACCAAAAACTAAAAAAATTTAATTGAAATGTTTTTAATATCATACCAAACCAAACTTAAATAGAATCGAATAAAAATAAATAAATTAAAAAAACGGGATCGCATCATAATAAAATAATAGTAAAATTGGTTACATCTTATCACATACTAATCAACAAAAGAATATCACAAGTGACCAAAAATTAGTTTTTAAATGAATTGTTTTCCATCTGAGATCATATTAAACTTTAAATTATAGAGAGTTCAAAAGAAAAAAATTAAACAAATTAGACATCAAATCAAATTAAGATAATAATAAAATTCGCATGTTTGGGAAATAGATCAGATGTAAACAAACTAAATAATACGTAGTAAAATTTATTCCATTTTCTGTACTCCGTATTAATTTTGAAAAAAAGCTCATAGAAATACGGAGCAGGTTTTCTATTAGATAAGGAGTATTAGAATTATGATATTATTATTATAATTATCATTATTATTAGATGAAGAAAAAACGGACTTGAATAGTCAATTATAGAGGAGTCGGGAGTTTGTTTTTTTGCATTGCATTGCGATTTTACTCCTTATATAAAAGAAGCAGCCACGTGGCAATAATATGTTAAGGGAGTAAAACGTGGGTATATAGACACGTAGGATTAAGGAAGGACAAAATTGTAATTTAATGAGTTATTCGTTTTCTTATATATAAATAGACGATGTTAGATTATTTTTTCAATTTTAGAATAACGATGTTAGGAATATATATAGAAGACTATGAAGATGAAAGAGAATTAAAATGAAAAGTGAGTAAGATAAAACATAATGCATATATGGAAGAGGAAGAAAATAGTGAAGGTAAAATGATGAATTATTGATTGTTAATCCACTACCAAGGAGAGGAAGGAGGTAAAGAGAGTAGGGAGAATGAGAGGAGAGAAGAGAATTTTAAAAATTGAGTGCATTTAGCAACCTTATCAACCATTTTTTTATTATTATCAAATACATTTTTTTGTTTGAGAAAAGATACTAATATACCCTGTAATATTTGTGTGAGAACAAATATACCCTTGTTCTGTTTTCCAGAACAAATATACCCCTGAAGTATATGTGGAAGTGCATATATACTCCTAAACTTTTTAAAAAGTGCAAAAATACCCTCATATTCTTATAAAGGAGCAAATATACCCTTATTGACTTTAAATTGATAAAATAAATTTTAAAAAACACCCAAGATAAATTATAAATTAAAAATTAAAAAATAAATTTTTTAAAAAATCAAAAATGTACTTGTGCCCATTTCTCCCTTTTATTGTTTGTATATCACATTTTAATATTGTTAGTATAAAATATTATTTCAAAACTTACTATATATTTAAGATTCTTTCAAAAAAAAAGTGTTAACATATTACATATGTGTTCCAATGTAAAAAGATATTAATTCTTTGCATTATTTGCACTATAAATTACATATTTTGTATGATGATAAATAGTTCAAGATTACAATAAAGTGAATTTAATTTTAATAAGGTTAAAATTAACAATGTATAACAATGTGTTCGAAATTTCACAACAAGACAAATTAATATTTATGAATTTGAATTGCTTCATTTACAACGGAAAAATAATAATTTTGCAATTTAAAATTAAAGAGTCAATATTTTAACATAATAATAAATATTTATTTTATATTTCGAATTTATATTTTATTTTTGGTGTTTTTTAAAATTTATTTATCTATTTAAAGTCAATAATGGTAAATTTGCTTCTTTATAAGAACATGAGGGGTATTTTTGCACTTTTAAAAAATTCAGGAGTATATATGCCCTTCAACATATACTTCAGGGGTATATTTTTTCCGAAAAATAGAACAAAGGTATATTTGTTCTCACACCCATAGTATAAGGGTATATTTGTACCTTTTCCCTTTTTATTTCGTGCATTAAATTATATAAGAATCAAAATAAAACAAGTTTAAAGTTATTTTCAAGCGATATTTGATGAAGTGATTATTTTCATATATTAATTCTAAATTTCATCAATAAAATATATTTTAAATATATATTTTCCATAATTCAACACATTCACCTAATTCAATGACTGTAGCGAGAATTTACCTCCTTCATCCCTTATAACTTTGTTATATTTCCTTTCTTCTCAAAATTTTTGTAACTTTTTCTTTTAGTCAATGAATTTGAGTTTCCTATAATTTTTCTTTTCTCTGTACAGCCTCAACTGCACAATTTTTACTTTATTATTTTTCATATCAATCAAACTTGACAAAAATTTGAGTGATATAGAGAATTTAACAATTTGAATCATACTAAACAGAACAGTTGATGTCCTACCTCATCATCTAAAGAGTACTAGTGTTGCGTGTACTAGTTAACGAATTAAGCAATCCCCTAAATCAAGTTTATACAAGTATCAGACCGGTACTACCTTCAGGTCATCGGGTTTTGGGTCCACCTACCCTGACCAATCCGTCAATGTCCCTTTCTTAAACATAATTTTATAATGTTGGGGAAAGCACGACCCCCTGACAATACAAAGACTCAATCTAAATGTTCCTTTGTATTATACAATTGAAATGTACAACAAAGATTTACAAATAAATAGGTAGTTCATCTCACTTTTTGTATATGACACTACTTTATTCTCAAGAAGGTTCTCACTCACTTGAGAGCTCGGTAAGACATTCTCTCTCATCACTAAAGATATTACTCCGTATCATTCTCACTCTTAGGTAACATCCTAAGATTTTTCTTCTCTCCCAAAAGAAGACTCTCATATCTCACAAGAAGGATCTCACGTCAATATAGTCTCTAATCTCTCTATATTCAATTGTACAAAAGGATGAAACACAATTGCATAAGAATTGGAAATTGAGAATCCTTTCAATTAACTATTCGTACTGAGATTGAGGATGGGTAGCATCCTTCTTTTAAAATTGGAATTCTTCTGTGGTCTCCGTCTACGATATACATGAGATACATAGCATAATCTAACCACACGTAGGATATAAAAATGGCCACTTTTTTGTCTCTCTACACTCCCTCTTCATCTTCTTTTCTCGCACTCTCAAAAGACTCATCTTTCATGAAAACAAAGCCGTGTCTCCATTACAATCACAGGCCACTCTGTCTAGCTTCAGCGCACCCTACCGAAGCTGACCAAGAACTACCAGAGCCTATCAGAACTCTTTGGCAATGGGGATGTGATGAAGGAGTGATATCAAAGAAGACACCAGTGAGGCCAGGAGTTGTCCCAGAAGGACTAGGGCTTGTCGCCACTAAAGACATTGGTAGAAATGAAGTCGTTTTGGAAGTTCCCAGAAGGTTCTGGATCACTCCAGAAACAGTTGCAGATTCAGAGATTGGGAGTGTGTGTTCTGGGATGAATCCCTGGGTTGCTGTGGCTCTGTTCTTGCTTAGAGAGAAGCACAGGGATGATTCCAAGTGGAAATCTTATCTTGATGTCCTCCCAGATTGCACCAATTCTACTATTTTTTGGTGGGTCTGAACTTTAAACTGTATGTTTTTTTTTCTCCGTTTATTTCAATTCTAGCACTTATTTATTGTTGTTTTTAAATTTTTATTAGGGTTGTGTATTATTTATTCCGTATTACTTACTTATTTACAATGTCACTTGAAATTCGGGTTTCAGTGCAGGTCAGAAGAGGAGCTTGCTGAGCTTCAAGGTAGCTCCCATTGTTTCTCTTTAAAGATTTTGAATGGTGTGTCTAATTTGCTTGTTCAATGCTTTATGTGTTGTACTTCACACTCATATGAAGCACTGGATGACCTAGCTTCCTATGTGGGTAAAAAAAATCAGGTCATAGAATCATAGGTCAGTATAGACTTCGACCTCCCAGAAGCTGGGGATGACACACTAGGTTGAGGAGGAGAAGAAGAAAATTCATATTTTTAAAAATTCAAGTACAAAAAAAGTTTGTTTGAGCATTGATTAAAAAACGAGCAATTGTAAACTGGTAATGTCAAAAGAAGGCCCCATGGTGGAGAAAATATAGCAGACTGATATACGAAGTTTGTGAAGAATGGCTGTTTATGGCAATCTATGGTGGCACCATACGGCAGAATTTTGGGAATCCGCCATAACCTGCCATGCGCGACTAATACCACTATCCTGAACAACAATGCAATGTTTTTTTCTTAATAAACCTCAAGCTACTACAGGTAAATGGTTCTAAACTTATGGGTTGGAAACGGCCCTGGTTTTTGAATGGAATTGATACTGTCCATTTTTTGCAAGATACCAAACAATCATTTTGTCCTAGAATCATAATCAGTGTAGGGGCAGTTCTGCTCTGGTTAATTTGTATATCGATCGGAATCAAACAGTTCCTTTCCGCATTCCATTTTTTGAAATGCTAAAATTTTCCTGTTCAGAGCCGCACAAAACTGCGCCCAAGACAGAGGCGACACTAACACGGGAGCCTGACCCCACCCGCTTAACCTAGCTTCCTTTGAGGTTCTTCAATCTAGGGTCCTAAAACTGAGCAGTTTAAAACTGGAGCAGAACCGATTTGTGTCCACCCTACTAGCATGCTTCCTCATGAAAGAGTCTTTGGATCCTCCATTGATATATAAAGTACATTATTTAATGCCTTCTGTCTAATACTCTAACCATTGTTGTCTCTTTTAAGATCAGTGTGTCCAACAATAGGCAATAGGTTATGTTGCAAGGACATGGAAACACAAAAAACAGACATCGAGAAACGCCACTTTTTAGTTGAAAATATTAGAGAGGCTCTGTACAGTTCTTAGGTCCGTTTACAATCCGGAAAATATCGGGAAAAAATAGGGAGGGAATAGTATAGGAAACTGTAAAGGAAAGAAAATGTGAGAGAAAATAAAATATAGGTAAAAAATATCTATGTTTATTTTAAACATTTGTTGATCTCATTTTTTTAGTAATTTCTATTATATAAATACTTAGAAGTACGTGTGAAACAAAAACATAAGAAAATAATTACATTTCACTTTCCAAAACTATAGCCCCAAACCTATGAAAATTATTGCCGTTGACATTTGCTTCATTTTCTTAGCATTTTCATGGATCCAAACAGGCCATAAGAGGCTTCCAAAAAAGTTTTACAATACATCCCAGACATTTGTGCATCATATCATAGCCGATTTTTTTTATCTGTGTAAGCTTCGTGTAGTATTCTTTTGTTACTCTAATAGCGCATAAATGCACATATATTTATCGCTACAAATCTCCACTACTTGTCTATGTCTCGATACGAATGATGCAAATCTTTAGTCATGAAACTTTGCAGGGACCCAGCTATTAAGCACGACTATAGGTGTCATAGAATATGTGCAAACTGAATTCCAGAGAACTGAAGAGGTCGTACTTCGAAACAAACAGCTTTTCCCTTTCACTATCACATTGGCTGACTTCGTTTGGGCATTTGGAATCCTCAGGTCAAGGGTGTTTTCCCGTCTTCAAAATCAAAATCTTATTTTGATGCCATTTGCTGACTTGGTAAGGTCCTATATGGAAAAATATATAAAAAATTAGGGGTGAAGTAGACGTAGTGAAAGAGTGACTATTTTGTTGTATGCATTAGATCAACCACAGTGGTAGAGTTACATCAGAAGACCCTGCCTATGAAGTTCGACGAACGGCGGGCTTTTTCTCCAGGGATTACTTATTCTCTTTGCGAAGCCCCTTAGCAGTGAAGAAAGGTGAACAGGTAAGGCTGACGCGCCCCACTAAGGGTTGTTTAGTTGGTCGATTTTCTATGGAGGGAATGATTCATATTGATTTTATTAACTTTTCCTTGTTCATTAGTGATGGGACGGATGCACCCACCTATAATCCATTTTTCAACATTCTATTTATCAAGAACTAGACCAAGTTTTCCAAAATCCTTCATTCAAATTGACTTCAAGGGCATTGATCCCAAATAGTGATCAGACTATATATTGTCCAGAAAACCTCTACTGGCCCTTCTGGGAGTTGAACTAGTCACCCTAAAGACATTTTAGTTCTAAATGAAACCAATCAAGCTACCCATCAGGGTTAAAAAAGAATGACAAATAGGCGAGATTGACAGGTTTTCATCCAATATGATGTGAACAAGAGCAATGCTGATTTGGCTCTGGATTATGGTTTCACTGATTCAAGTCCACATCGTGATGCATTTACGTTAACGCTGGAGATCTCCGAGTCTGATGAGTTTTATGGGGACAAGTTGGACATTGCAGAATCAGTTGGTTTAGGAGAAACGGCTTACTTTGATATAAAGTTAGGCAAACCTCTCCCCCCTCAAATGCTTCCCTATTTGAGACTAGTTGCACTTGTTGGTCCTGATGCTTTCCTCCTCGAATCAATATTCCGGAATGCTGTGTGGGGCCACCTGGAACTGCCCATTAGCCGTGCAAATGAGCTGCTCATATGTAAAATTGTTTGTGATGCTTGCTCGTCTGCACTTTCGGGATACAGTACCACTCTTGAAGAGGTAAGTTGTTGCTCACCAGACATACTTATCCGTATGAGTTGTTCCTTCGAAATGAGAAAAGAAATATAAGAAATGAAAGTGAAAATGATCCTATAGTAACCGGAGAAAAAGCAAAACATTTTCTTCAACGAATAATGAAATACATTAGTTGTTTGCTTTTCACCTTGGGGGCTTGGAGACCTGAAATACTGAAAATGTTTGTTTGTTTGCTATTCCCTGATTGGGGAGGTTTTTGGCCTAGTCCACCTCTCTTGTTTTTGTAATCCCACTTTTTATTAGTAAAACCTGGTAATGTTCTCCGGCATTCACCCCACTCATTTTGGTGGTTTGCACTGCCGGGTTTAAAAAAAAAACATTAGTTGTTTGCTTGAACGCCCAACACGAGAAAAAAGAACATAAGATTTTGCATACTTGGAGAAATGATATGGTATTATATATACACAATCTGTTTTTGCATGGCATTACTCGCATGCCGTTATATTAACAACTCAAGCATGGGATGATAAATAAATGCAGGATGAGAAGATGAAAAAAGCAGGAAGCATGAGTCCAAGACTGGAGATAGCAGTGGGGGTAAGGGGAGGTGAGAAGAAAGTGTTAACGGAGACGAACAATATATTTAGAGAGAGGGAAGAGGAACTGGACGAGTTAGAATACTACCAAGAGAGGAGGCTCAAAGATCTTGGTCTGGTTGGTGAGCAAGGTGAAATTATCTTTTGGGAGCCGCCTCAAAAATAGACACCACACCTGCGCGAATCTCGTCTTATTTACAGTTTACAATGAAGTACTCCCACCCTTTCCGAAACAATTTTCACTTTTCGAATTCCGACTAGACATTTCCCGATTTAAAAACTGCATTAAGTTGTAGCAATAGAACACACTTCACAAATTTGTTTTAGCAGCTACTTCGAAATGATATCAGTAAAGTCTATACTAAAAATTATACGGAGTAATGGTTATAGATTGATATCTATAGTTATTGAAGTAGAAGTTTTACAGTTACTATTGTTTGGTAAAGTTATTATGTGCTGAAGTGCAATGTGATTACATTATTTGCCCTTGCAAATCATTTTTCATGTCTGAAAAGAGCAAATGGCACAAATGCACATTATATTATGCTCATTCTGTATTAGAAAATCATTTTAAACTTTCTTTTAATAATATTGAGTTATGAAGAATAAATAGTTTCCACGTGCTGTAAATGTCATCATGATTGGAAAAAAATCATGAATAGAATTTTATTGTAATTTCATCATAAAGTTACAATCGTTTTCTTCTTTTAATAGGATTAAATCTTAACCTATCTTATAAAGGTCAGTTTTTAGTATTAAATGATCATGGTTTGTCATGGTTAGGCTTTAAAGTGTAGTACCATGTGCTATCATAGTGTGCCATATGAATTGGCTTTTAAATTACCAACTTCACCGTTCGACTTACCGTTAATGGAGTTAAATTCATTTGACGGTGCTTGTGTTTAACGATGCTACTCCAGATATATGAGTAGATCCTCTATTTGTTATCATCTTTGTATAGACTCTAAAATTGCTACAACTTTTAATTTTTCAGCGTTTGATTTTTCAGCATTTAATTGTTGTATCCACTTGCTTTCTTGGTTTAAATCCATTTTTTTATTTTCCAATCTAAGTATCACAGGATTCCCACTTCTCTAATGGACAAGATGTACCATATCACCATTAAATATAATTTAATTTTATATTCATTTTTTATTTTCACCTAATCAAACACATAATGGGATTTAAAGTTCCCTTATCCCATTCTCATGATCATGATCATCAATATCTAAGCTAAGCTGCTAAGGTATACTATTCTCTTCCCAATTGTTTGTGAGTTCAGGTTGCATTTTATTTATTTTTTTGTTTTGCTTGGGAGCTATTTCCCTGTTATTAAAAAAATTTGGAGTGCTTGTGTTCTACAAATGTACACTTCGACAGAACATAATTAATAAAGCTAACTATTTGAATTATTTGAACAAACTCATATGAAAAGAAATAAATTGCACCTGTTTGGTAGCACGAAAATCGGCTGATTTGATTGATTCTGCTGAAATTTATGAAGTTCTGTCTGAAGTGACTGCATTGGCTGATTCTGCTGATTTAAAAAATAAAATAAAATATATTTTATTAATAAAATAAAGAAAAAATTATATACTCCCTCCGTCCCGAAAACAACTTCCCGGTTCGACTTTCACACACTTTTAGGAAATAAATTTGACTTTATTGTAGAATGCACTGTTTTGCACTGTTTAAACACTGTTTGGCACTGTTTATCACTTTTTTGATGTAGATAATTTGCCAAATAAGGAAAGTATTAAAGTGTGAAGTTAATTTTGGGACATTCATTTAAGGAAAGTGGGAAGTTGTTTTCGGGACGGAGGGAGTATAAAATAGCTAGAATGGTCATCTACGGTAGCTCCAGCCAATACAACCAGAAAAGTAACTCCAACCTTACGTTTTCTGCTTATTACACAATTCACCGTGAAGTTACATGTTTGGTCAAAAAGTTGGCTGGTAAGCCTGTAAGCCGAAAAACAGTGTTCCCATATGACCTCTAAGTGTTTGATTATATGTCAAGCTTATTTCATTGTACTTATGGTCACATGCAGTTTTTAGCTAACACATATATCAGTTTTTCTTTTTTGTTATAGATAGATTTCCACTTTTCCTTAGAATTGTCCGCATTATTTTAGAGGAACATTCAATATATTTTATATATTCAATTTGATAAATAAAACATCTACTTCTTATTAAATAAATTAAATAAGAATGGTGTCTTTGGCAGGATGCATCATCTTTGTTATTAATATATTCAAATAATTGTTCACATTATGAAGCATTGTACAAAATTCAAAGGTAATACAAATTGGGCATATTACATTCGCGGGCGACCAATTTTCTAGTAAGTTTTATATAAACAACAAAACATATTTAATACGTAGTACTACGTATTATTTTTTAACCTTGTTCATGTTCTACACTTCTACAGTTCTACTATTGTTTTGAGCAACTTCTTTTCCCCATAATTGTAAGAAAATACAGTTAACCTATGACTTGATTCTAATGCGCCAGATGCAAAAATGCATTGACACAAATCTAGCCTGTTAAACGATCCCCATTCCCCACTATGAACGAATGAGTATGCACATTAATGTATATTCAGACGAAATCCTATCATTAGGATCAGATTAACTTACGCATTTCATTGATTCTTTACATAGTGATAAACCATAAACTTCGGTACACTGTACTACATAGTTTGTAATTGGTAAAACTTTTCCCTTTAGTAATCTGCAAAAGTTAATTGTGTAATTTGTAAATCTATTCCACGTAAACATTACAGCGTATGTTTCAGAGTATGGCAAGCCTGTCGTTTTATTAAACTTGCATGCATAATAAACTTGCATATTTGTAAATCAGTTGATTAAAACTTGAGTTTTAATCAACTGATTCAGCCCACCCAGCAACAGTTTGAACAAACACAGCCTTTTAAATAATTTAAGCTTTACCAAACATGGCTCTGCGAGTTCATCACATGTTCTACAAATTGCTCATAGCTTTATTTTGTATAAGTTATATTTCTCAGTAAACAAAGTTGAATGTTTGTGGAAAAGCAATGCATAGAAGAACACACAATTTATTGATAAAGATGGACTGCAGGCATACAATATTACATTACATTCATACCAAATTTTAACAACTCAGGCATTCATTCAAAACAATCAAAACTCATTATAGATCTCCCAAATTCACAAAACGGATTCCCAGATTCAAATCAAAGCAGTCTAACCCGAAATCTCAATGGATTTAACCTCAGGTTTCTTCACCTCCTCCTTAGGAACCGTCACAGTGAGGACGCCATTCTCCATGGACGCCTTCACCTGTTCAATCATAGCATTCTCCGGTAGCCGGAACCTCCGCAGGAACTTCCCGCTGCTCCGCTCCACGCGGTGCCACTTGTCCTTCTTCTCCTCCTTCTCCCTGCTCCTCTCTCCGCTGATCTGCAGCACTCTCCCTTCCTCGACCTCCACTTTGACCTCTTCCTTCTTCAGCCCCGGAAGATCCGCCTTGAAGACGTGAGCCTCCGGCGTCTCCTTCCAATCGATGCGCGTGTTCACGAACGCCGATGTCTCGCTGGCCGGGCCACCGGCATTAGCGACGGCGTTGGAGAACGGGAATCCTTCAAACGGATCCCATATGTCGAGAGAGAATGGATCGAAGACGTTGCTCCGACGACCTCCAAAGATGCTTGGAATCAGAGACATTGTATTGATGTCAAACAAACAGCTAATAAGTTGGCCTCGTTGAGAGTATGTGATGAATACTTCGAACAGATTTCTTCCGATGCTTGGTCGAAGGCATGGCTGGCGTTTATATACGCGAGAGACTGCGAGTCTGGGATGACGCCAGCACTTTCAGGGAGTTTCCAGAGAAGTTTTGTCAATCTTCCATTCTCTGTTCGCCATAGTTCTACACAGTTCCCGAGGTTGAGCCGATTTGGTGATATTCACATTAGATGTTTCGAGTATAGAATGGGGTTGGGCAGCCCAAAACCAGCAGGAGTATTTTACTTCTAGTTAAGTCTTTTAGTTATGGGCCGATCCATTCAATTTGTCTAAGTAGACCCAACTTTCCCAGAACAGTAGAGATCTTGTGGGGTAATTCTATTCACAGTCGCCAAATTGTTATTCACAGCTACTTTATTAAATAAAAATAAATATGAATTTATCTAATGTCTAAATTAGCCTTGAGAAAGCATCACCGGAGTCGTGCAGTTGATTGGATGGGTAGACCAGAGAAGCTCCTTCCGGACTGCGCCACCACTACCCCAGCCTTAATTCTTTCTTCTACCTCATATTTTCTTTCTCCTCTCCACTTGTGTAGGCCGGAAAAACACCGAATTCGACGCTGGCCACAACCCTACCAACCAGAAGGTAATTAAGGATACAACAAAGCTGATTCCCATCAGTAAGGATGCGGTTATGAAAGTTTCAACCCTATAAAATCTAGATTCAAGGGACAATTGGGTCGATTCTGAGCTTTCCGGCGGTGGTGAATGCCGACCGGTGTGACTGCGTGGGATAAATTATCCATGGTCTTCTTCTGTAGAATTTATTATCCACTGCCTTGCCTTCTATATATTTAATTTTCAGGATGTTGCTTGTGTTCCTCTGTAACCAACGTGTTCTTCTTCGAGCTGGAGGGTTGGCTTTTTTTCCTTGAAGAAGGCAGGTCGTTTTCATAAGGTCAATTTAGATATTTGATATATTTTTATTTATTTTTATTTAATTAAGTGGCTGTGAATAGCAATTTAGGGGCTGTGAATAGAATTACCTGATCTTGTACTTATATTTTTCATCCGGATAATATATACGCCGTAGGGAGAATTTCCCAAATAGGATCGAATGAAATTTTAATTGCTAAAATAGGACTATAACTTTAAATTCGTTAAATAAGGTTTGCTTTCCAATTCCACCCTTGTTTTTTATAATACAATTCATATTTAATTAATAATTAAAATATAAAAGTAACAACATAAATTTATTTATAATAAAAATGTAAAAAAAATAAAATAAATGAATATAAATATTAAATAAAATTAATAAATATAACAAATTACAAAATAAAAAAGTTATAAACTAAAAAACTTAAAAAATTAAAATAAATAAAAACGTAGAAAATATAACAAATAAAATATGTAGGCCTCTATTGCCACTGGAATAATGTCAAAATGTGTGAGAAATGACATCTTTGTGGAATTTTCACAGAAAAAAATGATTTTTTTACACAAAATGACATGTTTTTCGCCGATTCGAGATGACATTGTTGGGCGGTGGTCGATGCTGCAAAAAAGGTCTCTATTTTTTTATTTTGTAATGTGTTTTATCTATTTTTCATAATATTCATCAATAGTCTTAATATTTATTTATTTTTTAAAAACATACTATGGCAAGCCAAAATGGCTTGATTGATTGTATCGGCAAACGTACTTAAATGATGTTTTTTAGTGCAAGGGTTTAACTGATGGATTACAAAAAATATAGTACTTATATACGTAGTAATAGTATTTACCTGTTTATAAGTTTTTTTTTCTTTTTTTCTTTTATTACGTAGTATTTTAATATTTTTCAAAATATTTTAGAATTTTTATATTTTTTACTCCCTCCGTCCCAAAATTAACTTCTCATTCTCCATTCATTGGTCAACTTAAATCACTTCTAATCTTTTACTTTATGTATCAAAATTTATCAAATTTAAATTTTCTTAATCAAGCTTTGTAGCGGTTTTAATGTAGTTTCGGAATATGTAAACTTTATTTTCTAAAAATAATCCGAGTGTGAACAGTAATCGAGTTGCTTTATCGCCAGTCAAGCATCATAAACCGAACGAAGTTGTTTGATGGACGGAGGTAGTACAATTTTTGTATTAGTTAAATATTTTTTATTTATTTTTTATTACAAATTAAAATATGATTATCCTTTTAAGTTATGGTAAGAATAGAATATGAAAATATGATATATTTTAGTCATATTTCGATAAGATAAATAAAATAGTTCTTTTTGCGCATTTCAAGATTACTTTAATCCTAAGTTATCATCAGGGAAGAACTCTTTTGGAAAATTTTCTCTCTCTAGGGTTACCTTCGGGTAACGCTTAGCGTTCTTTCGTCTGCCATCGACTTAGTCGAGGGGCGGGGTTGGGGTTTCTCCGGCCGTTTTGTGAACTCTCTGTTGGTCCTAGTTTATGCAGACTAACGATCAGCTAGATGGATATCATCGATAAACAGAAAGAAAGAAGATCTGATAATGATCAAACAATGTCGAGAACAGAAAAATTCTTCTTTCTGATGTATCGAGAACTATTTGGGCAGCGTAAGGCTAAATGTGTATTGATCGATATCGGTACCTGTACACAAGGCGCATATTTATAGGCGTTGTACAGGTTACCGATTTAGGTAAACCTTGGAAGTTGGGCCAAGGCCTTTTTGGGCCTTATTCCCTTTACCTTATGTATTACATAATAATTACTAATCTAATACCATAAATGGTATAACTAGTCTACTTTATTAAACAAGACATTACATACAAACTTGAC